TGTTTGTTTCCCTGCGAGGCGGTTCATCAGGTAGGACTTCCCGGTGCGGTAGAGACCGACCACGGCCACCACCACCACTGGCTGCTGGATCTGCGTCAGGATCTGTAGTGCTGACTCCTGCACACACAGCTTCCCATCTGACCCAGTGTCAACCAAGCAGACTGGTTTATCCATGACCACTGGAGAATACAGCTGTCCAACAGATACACACATTTAACATCCTTCAAGCTACTGCAGTGGGTAACACTTTATTTAATAGTCCATTTTAGACATTCTACTAACTATAAGTAACTTTGCAGCTACATGTCAACTAACTGTCATTATAGTGTTAGTAGACTGTCTAATTAATATTTGCTAACATTTTATTTTGTTGTCCCGTAAAAGATATTCTACTGACTTTAAGTAACTTGGCGACTACAAGGCAACTTATTCTACTAACCCGAACCCTAACGTTAACTCCAGTATACATATACTCTAATGAGAGTTAGTTGACATGTAGTTGCATGTCTAGAGTGGACTTTCGAAATAAAGTGGAACTGCAGTGTAGAAGTAAAAGTCTAAGATGGGTTGAGAAATATTCCAGTAATTCTACAGTACACAACACCAGATTGGCAGCTTTTCCTTTTTGTTTGGAGAAGTTTCTGTAAGGGTTACTCATGTCATATTAACAAACAAACACACACACACATAGAAATAGGAACAACCAAAATGCACAGAATATACTGATTTGTACATATTTAAATATACTAATAAAACCCAGATCTTTCAACACATGCAGACATCAGCACTTAAATAGTGCACACATACACACATTTACCACACATTACGCAAGCACACTGAATGAGACAAAAATGCTGTAAGGTTTGTTTGTGTCCAGCTATCGACCCCAATTCAAACTTCTCTGGTCTATAACTTTACTGGGTTTAGTTCATGAACAAAGTCGTTTGAAGCTGTAACAAGACATGGCCCTAAACTTTATCAAGACATGCCAAGGCACAGAGTTCAATCACACACATACACGCACACACACACGCACACACATTTATATATGACTTATGGTGACTCTCCTAATGTGTAATAGCTTTTATGCTAAGCTAATGATGTTGTATCAGTTGTAATACTCATGTAACCCATGGATGAAGGAACATCACTTACCCTTTTGCTTAACTTAACTTCAGTTGCTCGATCTGAGTTGTATACATGTTGAAGCTTCCTGACATTCTATCTGTATTTCCTCAGACACTCCTCCAGGTCCGGCCTCTTAAAGCTGATTGGTCTAGAGTAAGTTAGGTGATTTATCTCTGGTTATTCCCTGAGGCTGACTTACATCCCTTTTATTTACACAATAAATAGCAAAGTGCAGTTTAACTTTTGGTTTCACTTCAAAATCAGGAACTGTACAACTTGTTAGCAAATACAAGACACTTGGAGTCTTCCCAGGACGTGCAACCACATTGCCATTGTTAATCTGTGGTGTTGTTCTTTCCTAATTAAATTGACTGGGAATTCCCAACAATGTCTGACTTTCTCCTGGGTATCAGACATCATTGGGTAAAACATGTTTACCTCTGTGACTCAATCAGAAGAGCATGCTGATAACAGTGCAAAGTGCCGCGTTAAGAGAAGAGAACACATCACACCTGTTTTAGCATCACTTCACTGGTTACCAGTCCAGTATAGAATTCATTTTAAAAATTCTGGTTCTTACTTTGGTAACACTTTATTTTGATGGTCCCTTTTGAACACCCTGTTGACTATAATTAACTAAGTTAAACTAAATAAGTAAATAAGTTAACTAACTCTCATCAGAGTATTAGTAGACTGTCTGCTTAATATCTGCCAAGTGCCAACTCTCTATTGTAATGCTCCTCCAACAGACATTCTACTGACTATTAATAACTTTGCAACTACAAAGTTTGTAAACTTACTCTATCCCTAACCCTACTAGTCTACTAATACTCTACTGAGAGTTAGTCGAGGTGCAATGTTACTTATAGTCAAGTGAATGTGTTAAAGGGACCATCCAAATAAGTTAAAACCCTTACGGTTAGAGCCTTGCATGACCAAGTCCCTACCTACACCACTGACCTGATACAGGTGCACACTCCTACCCGGAGTCTCAGGTTTTCAGATCAGATGTTATTAGTTTCTCGTACTCATTTTAAAACTAGAGGGGACTAGTCATTCCAGGATGTGGACTGCTTTGCCTCTTGTTTTACGCTGTTCGACTCAGTTGAGTCTTTTAAAAAACAACTTAAGACTTTGCTGTTTAAACAGGCTTTTGGTTAGTCGAGGGTTATTTTGTGGTTGTTTGTATTTTTGGGAATGTATTTAAACTGTTCTTGTATAACATTTTACTGTGAAACACTTTGTGATGTGAAAAGTGCTATATAAATAAATTTTACTTACTAATGTTCAAAAGTAGGTGAGGGGGTAAATGACTCATTCTTTATCATATTCTTCCTCTAGAATAAGGTATTAGTGAACTTTCTGTGCTTTCAGCGGTGTTGACATATTGGAAAAATCACATAGCCTACTACTATTTATGAAGATATAAAATGAAAGCTAATGTAAGTGATTTTGGGGAGCAGTCCAATAGAGTAGATATTAGCACAAATGTTATCACTTTGTAGAAGCAATATATAACTTGTTCATTTAACTACTATCAAAGTTTATTGTTTAGTTTAGTGTGTGCTCCTCCTAAAATCAGTGTATGAAGTTTTGTTATAAAGGCTTGTAGAGGATTGATCATGACAGTCATTGACCGTGAGAAATGTGTCATGCAGAATCAGCACCTCTGTAAAGTAGATCACCTTTAGAATATGTTACGTATTTTATTTTATTGTCACTAAAAAAAATCTGTTTTATATACCGACATAAAAAGAAGAAGAAGAAGTTTGATTTATATAGCGCCTTTCCAGAGCTCAAGGTCGCTTTACATGGTACATTTATAATACATTTAAACACTAACACACAACTTGCAATCACAAAGGATACATATATAATCACATAACATTTATAACTTGGGATTCCATGTGTAACTTTATTAAAGTATAAACAGGATTACACTATAGTGTCACAGTCTGTCGTCTTCACCTGTTTGTCCCGTCATCTGCACTACACTTCCCCGGATCCTTTTGTTCCTCTCCCGGACTCACTCCCCAATCAGCCACCTGTTCCTCGTCCTGTCATTATCATTTTCACCTGTGTTCACCCCAATTAGCCTTATTCCTCTGTGTATTTAGTTCAGTTCAGTTTGATTCAGTCTTGGTCGGTCAATGTTGAATGTTACCCGGTGTACCCCGTCTTCCTGCCTGTATTTTGTATTAAATATATCTTCATTGTGACTCTGGAGTCCTCCAGTTCCTTCTGCCGGCTCCACACCCGTGACATATAGACAGTGCTATATAATTAAATGTGAACTGTTTAACTGTACTTTTTTCATAATTGCTTAACTTTTGCAACATTGGCATTACTTTATAACTGTGAAACTGCTTTGAAACAACTATAAAATCACTTGCAGCAAAAAATCAACACGGAAATGTCCTCTCCTCCTACTCATATTATATTATTATTACACCATTACAAAATTTTCTCTGATTATTATAAACATTATTTTTCTTTACTCTGATCAGTCTAAGAACATTGATCGGCAACATTCACTCAAACAACAGCTGTGATTCACTGATCCAGGAAGAACGGCTTCACATGCTCACTTCGGGCGAGGATCTGACACATTCAGCCTATGAAGTTTTCACTGCTAAATTAAATCTAATATCAAGCTAAACATAATCATTTAGACAACGTTAACAATGCAATTGCTATCAGATGTGTTTCTATCAGATTCTAAAATCCCAAATCAGCCTAACAGCCTATGTTATTTACATACAGTAAACGGATGATCAGCTACCAAACATTACCATTAGGGCTGTCAAACGATTAATCGCGATTAATCGCTTCCAAAATAAAAGTTTGTGTTTACATAATATATGTGGGCGCACTGTGTAGAATTATTTTGTATATCCTGTATATTAATACACGCACATGCATGTATATTTAAGAAAAAAATATTACTTATATAGAAAATATTTATATATAATATAAATTATACATAAATCTATATACAGTATATTTCTTAAATATACACAAGCATGTGTATGTATTTATATATATAAAATAATTATACATAATGCGCCCACTTTTTTAGATATTATGTAAACACAAACTTTTATATTGGATGCTTTATATTATGTAAACACAAACTTTTATTTTGGATGCGATTAATCGAAATTAATCGTTTGACAGCCCTAATTACTATATTAAATTGACAAAACTCAGAACTTTAAACAGCTGTGATACAACATATCAAAGTTTGTAGCTATGATATCAAAACAACAGAAAGTTACGGCAGCGTATTGAAGAAAAAAATCTACTCTGTTTTTTTTCTGAATTAATGAGTTAATTATCTCAGAATTACAAGATTATTTTTCATGGAAAAAAATCTTTGCTCTGTTTTTCTGAATTAATGTTTCAAAAACTTTTTTCATGAAAAATGATTTCGTAATTATGAGATAATTAACTTGTTAATTCAGAAAAACAGAGCCAAAACTTTTTTCCATGAAAAATTATCTCCTAATTCTGAGATAATTAACTCGTTAATCCAGAAAACAGAGTACATTTTGTTTCCTCAAGTGAATGCAATACGCTTCCGTAGAAAGTCACATCAAATGCAGTGAGATTATAGAAATTACAAAGTCAGAAATCTGTAAAAGCAGTGGACTCCATCTTTCAGCACATGTCACTGTATAGAACAGGATCGAGATGCGGGTCTGGGTCTGCTATTAATAGCTTGCATCTGCTGTCTGTGCTGCTGCCTCAGTACTTCCATGTTCTGTTCATTTCTTCGCTGCTGATCTGATATCATCTGGGCATACTTTCTCGATGTACTCTCCTCTACCTCTGCATTCTTTCTCCTCAACTCCTGTATCTCCCAGGTCATCCTGTCAGCTTTCTCCTGAAAGCCCTTCTCCATCAGGGCAGACTGCTCTCTCAGCTTACTCTCCATTGCACGCTTTGTCTCCTGTTGTTGCCGGGACATCTCCTCTTCCATCATTTCAATGACCTGTCTCACCCTCTCTTCATTGTTCTGTTGTTCAGTCTCCATCTTCTCCTCCAGTTGACGCTGCCTCTCTTCCTGGGCTATAATTTCCTGTTCCAGAAGGACTGCCCTTTCTTTCTCCTCTAGGGAACCAAAAAGAAGGAGCAGTTGAAAGAAACAGGTGAATAAAAGATGGAGAAGAGTCCAATCATGGAGACAATCTAACAGATAAACTCTACAGTGTCTACATCCCATGTGTTTAAAAATGAGTACAGTTAAAACAGCAGCACTCAAAATGTTATGTAGACATGGAAGGAGACTGCCTCAGATTCACTTGGCCATTGTCTGGGATCATCCCCTTTCTACTAGATACATGAATGACTTATACAGCTTACTGTTTTTAATCAAAAGAGCAGATTGAATTGACTATTCATCACATCATGTGTGTCCACTATGTTGAAAACACAAAGCTTTTACCACAAATCTTTCTTTCATTTTCAGTAAGTTTATCATCAGCTTGCAGAATGGCTGTGGTCACTGCAACCTTTTCCTGTAGAAACTTCTCCAACACCTCAGCAATCTATGAGGACACACAAAAGTGGTGTTAGAAATATAATTTCACTTTACATTCAAAATATATACCACAATATTGTTATTACATAATTATAGCTTTGCTGCATTTATACTAACAAACATAATATTGAAAATATGATTGTCATATTTTGCATAATTAATCATTTATGACCTTGACTTCTTTGTAGGCCAGTGTATTGTACTGATTCACAATGTCCTCCAGGTCCTGGCAGAAGAGATTGTAACCACCAGCTTTGGCATAAAATCCTTGATTGATTCTTTCTGTCATTGGGTCAGAGAGAACTGACATAAGACTTTCACATTTTGCCTCGGAAGCCTTCTCATTGTCCCAGAGATACGCATCAAACTGACAAGTGATGGCTTCCTAAAACAGCACACAGAAAAACAGGAAGGATACTTAATGGTCATTCTTTGAGTGATTTTGTATGTCCTAATCATTTAGCAGATGCTTCTATCCGGAGCAACTTACAAGTCATATCTACCTTCGAGTGCTGTAACCACTGGGAACAAGTAGGGGTTCAGTGTCTTGCCCAAGGACACATGACATATGGTATATAACCAAGATGCACCAGGGTTTGAACCTGGGAGCCTTTTTAATTTTCAGTGAATTTCTCTACCCCCTGACCCACTGTTTACTAGGTAAAATGTAGATGTTTATAAATAAAACAAAATAAAATTGTGTTTAGCCCTGTGATAGATTGGCCACCCATCCAGGTTGTTTGCATGCCCATAGCCAGAGATACAGGGATAGACTTTGGACACTGCATCCCACTGCATAGGTCAAGTGGTTTGGAAAATGGATGTATGGAAACTTCTAATTTTCTTGGATTTGGTATAAAAATCTTGAAATAACTAGACAGTGCTTGGAACAAATTTGTCCAGATAAAGATATCTACATGTCCTTCAAAACTACAAGCACATAACAGATAACAAGGACAAACAAGTCAAACACATTGGGAGGAGTGAGAGATGCACACCTGTTTATTTATTTCAAAACCAGTGATTTATCCCCTAGTTATTGAGAAATACTATGTAGGAATTCAATAATAAACCTATTTTATTAAGTTTCTGTGATCCTGAATGTTTATGTTTGTATGCAGCACAATTAATCTCAGAGTGACATGTGTGTGTGCTTCAATGAAAACAGTATCTTAATATAAAACGGTGATTCAAAACTACCTGTGCAATAAACGATTTTATTACACACCTTCCAGCCACTCAGACCATGGCATAATTTGGTATGGCAACTCCCACCTACCTCTAAAGATGTCAAGTACTTCCCATCATGGTCCCTGAAGCAGCGTTTCATGAAGGTTTGTGTTGCCATGAGACTGAAACACTGGTGTTCCAATGTGATTTCATTCAGTTCCACAGGGAATGAGTCCTTCAGCTTCTCCATTCCACTCTGGTAAACCTCAAGCCCCTCCTTCACAGCAGCCTCATTCTCAATCATTGCCATGGCGATCACAGCGTTCTCCAGACACGGCACAGCCCCACTGGAGATGGTGTCCACGTACGTTTTCACAAGATGACCCAAAACTTTAGGGAGCCAGAGGGGTCAAACACAAAGAAGTAAAAAAGGTAAAAATAAATGGACGCTGGCTACTTAGAGTAGCAAATGGCAGGTATGGTTAAAGAAAAGGCTTCATTTCTGAAGCTGTTTTTGATTTTTCAAGCATCATGTCATGACAATGCTGGTGAATAAAATGTGCAAAAATAGGAAACACTGCCCACCATTAAAAAAGGGGTAATCCAAAACATACCGACTTCCTGACTTACCTCTTCCGGTGACCGTGTGTCCATCTTTCAGATTTTTCTCTTGGCTCTGGTCAAAGATAAACTGGCAGAAACGATCAGTGACCTCCAAGAATTTTTGGGAAATCTCAGCTGGGTCCAGTGTCTCCAGATATGAGACATTGTCTGGATTGGTTGGGAATGGGAAGGTGAAACATTTCCGTGATGGGAAATATTTACGAATGCACTCTCTTGGAAGGTTGTAATTATTCACTTGACTCGAGTTACCTTCAAAAGAACAACACAAAACGTCTCTTCAGTCAAATGATACACAGTGTAGGAAATTCATTCTTTAAAATCAAAGAAACTGTAAGTCTCAAATTTATCTACAAAAAAAAAAAATATGATAAAGACCAATTGACTGTAGATAAACAAAGGAAGCTAATTGGAATTGGCTAGGTTTCCACTCCCAGACAGCAAACTGACATTGAATCAACGTGGAAACGACGTCTCTCATGACATTGAAACAACGTTGATTTTGCTCATCGAATTAACGTTGAACCAACGTCAGACGCGGCATTCTTCAAAGCTAAATGAAATCGAAAATTGGTTTGTTTTTATAACGTTGAAACAACGCGTTGATTTCAAGTTGATTTTCCGTTAGTTTTGAAAGAATGACGCATCTGACGTTGGTTCATAGTTAATTCAATGAGCAAAACAATGTCAGATCAACGTTGTTTCGATGTCATATTTCCACATTGATTCAATGTCAGTCTGCTATCTGGGCTACTAACAGTTCAGTTAGCAAAGAAAACCTAGCCAATTCCACATATCCATAATCTGATAATGCAGGTAATTTAAAAAACTTTCAGGCTTTAAATATTACCAAGTTTTAGCTTCAGAGCAAACTCTAGATATTCATCCTCTGTTGCGTCTTGGCCATTGATGTTTAGCTGCAGAGTGAAGTCCCTCACAGCCCAGATGAAACTAGGGAAGAACTTCACAAACTCTGAATCATCTACAACTTCGTCAGGTGATTTGATCTTGATGTACTCTGTTAGTTCAGTGACATATCTGTTTACTGTGAGTTGAAGAACAGTTTAGATAGATTCACTATGAGCAAGGGACCAATCATATATAAAATCAATCGTTATTTAATATGTAATAATAAAGCTTGACCTTGAATATTATTATATTGACAGTCATACGTAACAAAATTCCTGCTTTGGAAGGGAGTATTGAAAATAAAATACAAATTATGATCAGAAGGATACTGCAGTTCCTCTATGGCCCTGTTGTCGATCGTCCCTCGGCTGTTCAGGACTAGAGTGCTACTCAGAAGGACGGCCAGAGAGAAGATCTTGGTGTCATGCTTTGAGTCCCCCTGAGACAAATAGGATATGGTGATTTGGCATGAGACCATAATAGAGACACAATGACATTTTATTGGATGGTGATCTTAAGGGAGAATGATCTGTGATCGTGAGATTGGTGTACAATATGATATTTAAGATACTGAAGATATTGATTCTCATGTTGGTTTTATCACAGTTTATTTCGCCATCTGTATGGATGGAGAGTAGCTCCTTGATCTTTGTCTTCATACAGACTTACTCCTTCTTCCCCTGGATAAATATTATAACAAAAATTGATCAGTACGACACACAATACCCAGAATCGGCTCAGCTCTTGTTAAAATAGATGCATTCTGGGATTGATTGTAATGTTAATAGGTTCTGGCCCTGGGAGCAATTTATGGAATCAAAGTTCTGTGTAAATGAATAGATAGATCACTCTGGGGTCTATGGACCCACTCCCCAATTAGGGTAAAAAGTGCCTCAGTTACCATGATTACAAATTGATACGACGGTTTATCAGTCTTTTGTGGTCACATGGAGAAGCAGAGGCCATAGGAAAGACGTACAGCCCTTAATACAGATTTCCCTGCATTAATTTACAGAGGAACTGATCTATAAATGAACATGCACCCTATTCCATTGTGTGAATAATTATTTCTGTCTTGTGTAGTGTCTTGTATCTATTTTTTTATATATTTTATGATAGAACCAACTGTCAATGTAACCTCACCTATACCATGTTTAGTGTCTATAAATTGGTACTTTGAAGATCAAAATGATGGCGTATATGATATGTGGATAGCTGCACAACAGATTACAATAATTGTTATACAAGTATTACAAGTGTAACCCCTATACCCGGGTCCCACTCGACCCGCTCCGAGCGGGCCTCGAACCCGGGTCTCCGGCATGAGAGTCAGGCGCTCCAACAAGGAGGCTAAAGACTGCAGCCTCTAGCGTCTGTCGCTGGAGCGCCTATTGAGATCAGGGGAGTGAGGTTTACTTGCACAGCAACTACTAGCTGGCCTCCGTTACACTCACCCCCCTAAACCTCACTCTCATCCGGGTCACGGCACCAATGTAACCCGGGCCTCGAACCCGGGTCTCCGGCATGAGAGTCAGGCGCTCTAACAGGGAGGCTAAAGACTGCAGCCTCTAGCGTCTGTCGCTAGAGCGCCTATTGAGATCAGGGGAGTGAGGTTTACTTGCACAGCAACTACTAGCTGGGCTCCGTTACACAAGAATATTTAATACTTTCTAGATCAGCAACCAATCCAGCTGCACATGCAAATGAGCACGCTTGAAACAAAGAGCCATAAAGCTCAAACAGATATTCTATACTGCTTGGATATTCCACCTTTCTCATTGGTCAAGCCAACCCGGAGAGGTGGGATCTTTCTCAGGCATTATATAGGCTCTACACATGCCCTTCTTTCTCTTGGCCTTCTCGGTATGTTGGGGTTGCTGTCCTGTGGACAACCAGCCATGTGCTCAATCAAGAAAGTAGACTCTCTCATCCACAACAGAGTCAAGGTCAACTTTACAAGTTTGTCACAATTTCTTAATTCAATGCAGAAGAAGTCAATCGCTACTCCAACTATCAACTCAAGGAACCAATAAGATCTTCAAAGAGATCACACACTGCTTCCACTGCAAGGGAGATGCAAGTATCTCACATTTTAAACAGAGGTTAAATTTAGTGCTTTGAAAAAAGAAAAGATGGTTCTTTTTATAGTTAAATGAATATTTTCCATAGTTTCCTTTCCTGCTTCCAGTTTCATTCTTTCACTTACCATTTTACCCATGTATGTGTGATTGTGTGTATGTGTGTTTAAATTAGTGGTGTTTGTTATTTAGTTAACAGCATTTGTGCACAAAACATATTCGGTTCTGATTCTCTGCCCCAATTTAATGATTCCAGAATCTGATTACATGTTCTGCGTAAGACAGTTATTTCACAACCTGGGAAACTAACAAAACTTTCTATTAATTAGGTAATAATCAATATCGAGTGTTCACAGGACGAACTGATTAATTGATTGTAATTTGAATGTTAATCGGATTAAATAATCCAAATATTCATAATAATCCTAACAATAATTATTAATATTTCACTTTTTGAGCCAATTGGCTACAATAGATAGACAGTTACTACACGATGAAACTAGTTTGGCAGTCACCTTGTCCACGTCTCCGAGTCCCTCCGTGTCCAGCAGCACCAGAGTGGTTCCTGCTTTAGTGGGGTGAGACACACACCACATCCAGATGCCCTTCGTCTTGGACTCGATGGTGCTGCCCAATGCGAATCCTGATAGTGACACACCATAAAAACAAAGACTTGTATGCATATGCCGGCATGATGTTTCTCTTAAGCGTCCGGGTGCTCTCGGCGCTAACCTGTTTGTTTCCCTGCGAGGCGGTTCATCAGGTAGGACTTCCCGGTGCGGTAGAGACCCACCACGGCCACCACCACCACTGGCTGCTGGATCTGCGTCAGGATCTGTAGTGCTGACTCCTGCACACACAGCTTCCCATCTGACCCAGTGTCAACCAAGCAGACTGGTTTATCCATGACCACTGGAGAATACAGCTGTCCAACAGATACACACATTTAACATCCTTCAAGCTACTGCAGTGGGTAACACTTTATTTAATAGTTCATTTTAGACATTCTACTAACTATAAGTAACTTTGCAGCTACATGTCAACTAACTGTCATTATAGTTGTAACGATGGTGCAGTTGTGGAAGCAGTGAAGAGGCTGGATCCAAGTGCAGGACACTTTATTTCATAAACTACAAATAATACAGACTACAGTACATACCAGACTACTAAGTGTTTCATCAGGTGGAGTGCTCATAGGGAGTGCGCCGCCGAATCAGGGTTTGATTGATGGGTCGGTCGGGAAAGATCACACGATGTCACAATCACACAGTATAAAAGTGAATTCAATGCATTTTCACATCGTGGGTTTTTGTGAAAGGTGATTTTTGGTGATATAGTGACATTTATAGTGCGATTTGTTTTGTTATATTTAGGCTTTAAATTTACACATTGACAGAGAGACAGACATAGTACATATAGTGACACATTAATAGATGGATAGATAGAAATATATACAGACAGATAGATTAATAGATACTAGGCATTAATAGATAGCCTATATATATAGACAGATTAATAGAAAGAACAGCAGAGAAATTTATATTTTTGGACAAAAATCTATAAGAAATTGAGACATTGTGGCTTGATTTATTTTATTAATATACATTTTTCATGACCAAAATAACATTATGCAATGTGAAGAGACTACAGGGTAAGCTTCTTATATTAGAAAAATACAATAATAAAAAAAACAAATTTTGTTAATGGCTCGTTGTAAAGGTTGTTTCAGATAAACACTTGCAATTGACCACTAGTTGTCACCATGGAGACGGGTGTCGGATTGATTCGAAGCCTCGAAACAAAATGGCACATTTGCTTCAACTGTTTCAGTGCTTCATGAAGCCTCGATCTGCCCATCACTATTGAACGCAACACACTGGTAAATACCAGTTCACAAGTGAATGCAGCATTAGAACAAGACTAAGACCAAAAATCAGGAACAACCGACACAAGCGTTAACAGTCATACATGAAACAAGCAGTGGTGGGCCGTCAGGGCCAGCAAGGCCTTCTCTGCTGGCCTAAACACCATCAGAATCAACTGACTTGCACTTTAATATATTTTTTCAATGAATGAGTATTAAATTATTCCCAATAGTTCGTTGTCTTATTCATAGCTTTTCTTGGTTGCACTGCTTCCAGTAGTGTGTTTTTATGTTAGAGCTTGTATCCAATCATATTTCAGCTATCATGCGTTGCCAGGGTAAATAAATCTGCCTGGAGGCCTTCAGAATCGACAGTGCAGGCGCCTGTAGCTTAACCACTTAACTGTCACTGTCCCACAGGTGGGACGTTTGCCACTATATTTTTAAAACAATAATATCTTAGTAAAAACCTTAAATAATATTGACAAACTATATATCATTTGAAAGCTTACAATCTCTAGTTTCCATATTTGGTGACTGATTTTCAAAATATATTACAGAGGAGCTATAATTTATCAATATAAAACAAGAATATTTTCATACTCATAAGGTGTGTTCAGGCCTTTATTTTAAAATAGCAGTAAACATGAAAAATCATGAAAAAATGGTAGATACCTCAGTTTGTTTTCATGCCAAAAGTTCAAAAGATAGAATCCATTCAATTATTTTGGAAAAAAAGGTCTGAAAAGTTTGAAATATCAAGAAAAAAATAATAAATTCACCATTTGTGACGTGGCAGCTAGCTATGACTTACATGCGTGTTCTTTGTATGTGTTTCTTAGAGGTTCAATTCAAATCAAAATCTGCCAAACTTCCCATGCTACTTCTGAATAGGATCTCTACTTCAGAAATTGTATGAAAATTGTGAAAATAATGGTTCATATCACTCAAAACACGAATGGAAATGCAGGCGCCCTTATATGGGCAGTAATGGAGTCTGATTGTGCCCTAGTGAAAAAGTTTGGTACTGCGCTCAAACAAAATCTTACTGAAAGCTCATTTTTTGAGATATCAACCTAAAATTTGAAACACAACTTGTTCAGATTTTTGGCTTTGATCTTTCTGCCATTTTAGAGTAGCCCAGGTTTTGAAAATATATATTTTATGTAAAATATGAATAATTAATATTTTTACATTGTACATTTCCATAAACTCAAACTTCTATAACTTTTTTTCTGTTTCACTTTCTTAATTTATTTCACTTCTACAAAAATCTGCCAAATGTCTTCTTTAAAACAAGATCAATCATATGTCTATATTCCAAAGCATTCTTGAATTACAACCATTTAAGTTCGAAATGTGCATTTTCACGTCTATTCAAAAAAGGGGGGGTGACAGTTAACAGGTTAAAATGAATGGCAATGAAACCGTTGCTTTAACCCATCAGATAATCCGTCAGGTTTAATCAGCCAATCAGATTTCGCTTTGACTGCAGCGGGGCCATCTAGCTGGCATATAATAACGTCTGTATTTTCTCGTTCTTTGATTGGATGCTCAGACCGCGTACTACTGGTAGTGTCTGCATCTGTAGCGAACTGTGTAAACTAAAATATATTCCTGTAGATGTAATAGATTGTCAACCCACAAATTAATGTTTCTTTCCCTCCTCGACCCCCAGCAGAAAAAAATCCCTTATTCAGCCTGAGCTAAACGCAGATACGGATCTCTATTCGATCTCTCCGGGTAAAAACAGAACTGACTGTAAGTTATGCCACGAATGGTTCTGAAGGCAAAAGTCCCGCTGATCGCGTTGATTTTGTTCAAAACTCTGTGCATCGGGCAGCTGTACACATCGTCATGTTTTGCGGTGACTGTGTGTGCTTCTGTCGAGCAGGCACTCTCAGCCATAAAGCAAATTAAAACTGACAGAAATATGACGAGACAGACACGACATTGTTGGAACTGAAACGCAGATAGAACCTGTAGTCTTCTTGAGAAAAAAAAGAATGGATTTTGTGTAAAAAATAATCTTGGTGAGTATAATATTCTTTTTTTCCCAGTTGTCACAGTCTGTCGTCTTCACCAGTGTGTCCCGTCATCTGCACCACACTTCCCCGGATCCTTTTGTTCCTCTCCCGGACTCACTCCCCAATCAGCCACCTGTTCCTCGTCCTGTCATTATCATTTCCACCTGTGTTCACCTCATTTAGTCCTGATTCCTCTGTGTATTTAGTTCTCCCTCCTTCAGTCTGTGTTTGTCGGTCAATGTTGATGTTACTTGGTGTACCCCGTCTTCCTGCCTGTATTTACTAAATAAATGTATCTTCATCGTGATTCTGGACTCTGTCTGCTCTTCTGCCTGCACCACACCGTGACACCAGTGGTGAATATGATTTTCTTCTTAATTTTTCTTATAAATTTGTTGTCGAAAATTATTATTTTTTTTCAAACATTCATACTATTGTAACGTCTGAAAAGGGACTTGTAACCCTTGAACGACAAGGGAGGCTCCGATTCTGAACTTATAATCGGATTCGGAACGCAAGAACCAATGTACAAATGCACCAGCTGAACTCACGCGCTCGTTTCTCGCGACCTTTCCCGAACCCACCGCATTAATCCAATAACTGCCAGTGCAAAATAAAAACAAAAATTATAGAGAGTCTTTGCGCTGATACACTATTAAAAGTTATTAATTCAGGTAGGACAGAAGGCCTAAGTGTGAAATGCACGGCCCGCCACTGGAAACAAGGAATCACAAAGACAAGGCAGAAATAATCAAGGACAAACGAGCTAACTAGTTAGGATAACAAGGGGGCGTGGTTAACGGGAAACACCAGTGAACACTAATAGACAGACAGGGAACCACTAAACATGACAAGACAAACCCACACTGTGACAATAGTGTTAGTAGACGGTCTAATTAATATTTGCTAACATTTTATTTTGTTGTCCCGTAATAGATATTCTACTGACTTTAAGTAACTTGGCAACTACAAGGCAACTTATTCTACTAACCCGAACCCTCCAGTATACATATACTCTAATGAGAGTTAGTTGACATGTAGTTGCATGTCTAGAGTGGACTTTCGAAATAAAGTGGAACTGCAGTGTAGAAGTAAAAGTCTAAGATGGGTTGAGAAATATTCCAGTAATTCTACAGTACACAACACCAGATTGGCAGCTTTTACTTTTTGTTTGGAGAAATTTCTGTGAAAGGGTTTCTCATGTCATATTAACAAACAAACACACACACACACAAGAGAAACAAACAAAAGTTTGTAGTGTATACAAGTACATACTGATTTAACCCAGATCTTTCAACACATGCAGACATCAGCACTTAAATAGTGCACACATACACACGTTTACCACACATTACGCAAGCACACTGAATGAGACAAAAATGCTGTAAGGTTTGTTTGTGTCCAGCTATCGACCCCAATTCAAACTCCCCTGGTCTATAACTTTACTGGGTTTAGTTCATGAACTAAGTCGTTTGAGGCTGTTGAAGACATGGTAAAATTTATTCATGGCTTAAATTTATCAAGACATGCCAAGGCACAGAGTTCAATCACACACACACACTCACATTTATATATGACTTGATTTATATATGGTGACTCTCCTAATGTTTAATAGCTTTTATGCTAAGCTAATGATGTTGTATCAGTTGTAATACTCATGTAACCCATGGATGAAGGAACTTCACTTACCCTTTTGCTTAACTTAACTTCAGTTGCTCGATCTGAGTTGTATACATGTTGAAGCTTCCTGACATTCTATCTGTATTTCCTCAGACACTCCTCCAGGTCCGGCCTCTTAAAGCTGATTGGTCTAGAGTAAGTTAGGTGATTTATCTCTGGTTATTCCCTGAGGCTGACTTACATCCCTTTTATTTACACAATAATGTGCAATGCTCAGTCTAACTTTTGGTTTCACTTCAAAATAAGCAACTGTACAATGTGTTAGCAAACACAAGACACTTGGAGTCTTCCCAGGACGTGCAACCACATTGTCATTGTTAATCTGTGGTGCGTGTATAATGCTCCCTCCAAATGAAATTGACTGGGAATTCCCAAGAATTTCGGCCTTTTCCTGGGTATCAGACATCATTGGGGAATATGTTTACTTCTGTGACTCAATCAGTAGAAGATGATGCAAAAGTCATTAGTCCAATGTCCAGGAAGCTCTTATAGGAAGGAATGTATTAGTTAGTTTGGATAAAAAAACATTTGAAAGAGTAAATAAACCGTGCCTGTAGCAACTCGTGATGGCAGATCCTTTTAATGTTCAAAAGTAGGTGAGAAGATAAATGACTCATACCTTATGTTACGTTCTGGCTCCAGGAAGTAACAAAATAAAGGGAACAGAGTCCAAAAATATATTTAAGCAAAATATTTAATTACGTCCAGGGGTTAAATAATAAAGAAAAGAAGCTTTCAACAGTAAAAAAAGAAATAACAATATGAAGGTCCAGCTCCTGATGTGAACAGCTACAGGATGGATCAGAGCTATCTTTCACAAAGGCCAGCCATCTTAAATAATGATTTCCAAATTGCAGACAGGTGTAGATCCTTATCTGGCAACCTATAAAAGAAAAGAAAGGACAACAGAACAAATCCAAAACAAACCGTAACACTTATAATTTAGAAGGATGTCCTGTTACATTATCCACTACAGTAAAAGACTAGGCTTTTAAACTTCATAAACATCACATTTCATATCATATGTTACAAGAAACATTGCTAAGCTACGTAACATGACATCACATCACTAAATTCGAGGCTTCTGGTCAAATATGTCTCATTGTTAATACGTCGGTATTGATACGTTATTTTCAAAGATATAAAATGTACGTTTTTGTACGTTTGGATAGATGCTAAAACGTATAATATGGACGTATTTGCAACATTTAAAAGTAACATTATTACGTTTTTACAACTACAAAATGTTAACTATTTACGTATATTTCATATCATAACAATATCTGTATACTTTTTAAATGTAACAAGATCCCTTAATCCTACTCCCAAAACCTAAACATATTCATTTTATACAGAATATAAAAAGGATAAAACATTATGGACAGAGATGTGTAGGTAAATGAGTCTTAGCATTAAAATATATTTTTAGCCTAACGTTAATCCTACTCCTACCCTACCCCTAAACCTACCCATAACCATTCCTTAAAACTATGTAGGCTAACACAATTATGAAGAAAAAAAAAAACATAACAGACAGACAAGTATACATTTCACAATAATTTATTTATTGCGAAAATGTCAAAACCAGTAACGTTAACATTACCAAAAGTAGTTCACATCGCAGTCCTAAGGACCAACGTAATGCTGCACTGCTTATATGTTGGCATTTGACGTAATTGCGATTTGCAAAATAGTTTCCTCAGAACGTATTTCGTGTGATACAGGGTTGGTATAAAGAGATTTGACAAAAAGACAGTTCACGAGGATATTCAGGGACTTGAGCTGCAATCAGCATTTGATGAAGTGAAATGAATTACTATCAAAGAGAGAAAAAACATCCAACCTTTCAAAAACAGTTTCAGGAGTCATTACGACTAAAAAGGACATATCCATCTATAAATGCATGAAATATATGTCTCTATTTATTTGGCATTAACTTTACAGTAGTCGTAGAAAGGGTGGTGTATATTTATTTAATGTTTTTTTTTTTTCTGAGCAAAAGTTTAAAACGTTTTAGATCATTGCCATGAAACAAGCCAATGACCTGCTAGACATTGAAAATAAATAAAGATATTTCACTAGTCCTGTTATCAGCTTGGTGTGTGTGTGTGTGTGATATTTTGTATCTTTTTTTGTATCTCTGCATCCCTCTGTGTTTCTCTATAGAGTCTCTGTAGTTACTACTCACTGTAGTAATTAATGAACAATGTTAGTTAATAAAATAAGTTTTAAGGGATTAAACCTTGATGACACATTTAGATATTGAGTCACACATTACCTCAATATTATCTGTGCATAAATCCACCCATATTGTAAAGTGTTAGCATTTATTTTGTGCAAAATAAAAAGAAGATAATCATAAATTATTATTGTCTCATTTGTCAGAAAAAACAAACAAACTGATTGCAAACTAAATTTAAAATTAAAGCCGTTTTGAATTGGAATAAATACACAAGATCGATGCTTGATATTTATTGGCAAACATTATGCAAAATGAAGATGAAGAACAGATGACAGGAAAACAGAGAGGAAAGTGTTCATTAAACATTGCAGTTCTGTGAAACAGTTTTTAGTGGAACTGGTTAAAGATATAGCAGAGCTTTAAAAGCTATCTTAAATCCTGGGAGTTGAAGAGACATAGTCATGTGACAGGCGTGTGTCCGGGTCATTGTAGAAGAGTCTTCAGAGCTACTCCTCACCTCACACTGCAGAGACACAATGAACAACAGGGAATGAGGAAATATACTGTTGAAGCTATATACAATCTAGAATAAAATACTGCATTCTTCATCAGATAGAAATGCACATTTGACATTTTGAGATAGGATACAGTAAAGTGAATTTCCCTGCCAAGAACGACAATAACATTTGCAAGTTAACTTCTAATTTATGTAAAACACTGATATAGATTTTTCAACAGGTTCTTACTGAGTTAACATTTAACTTAAATTAAAGTTCATTAGGACTAAACATTTAATTAGAAGAAAATGTCCTTAATTAATTGGATACACAATTTAAAGCTTTTATGATTTTAAATCATTATCTTTCATTATCCCCCTAATAAAATCAATGCTACAATAGTTCCTGCATAACATGCTGAAGATCCTGAATCCATAGCGGAAGAAAGTTGCACACATAAGAGAAAGGAGTGTCCAAAAAAAAAGTTTTTACATACACATATGTGAGTTATAGCTGTAGATGTACACACACTGATGTACAGCCACAACACACTCTTGTTGGTGTGAACTGACTAATGTACAGTATGTGTTGCATGTGTTATTGAGGTTTGACTCACAACAGCAGCACCATTTCTATTTCCCGTTTTTTGATCCTGGGCCTGCAATTTAAATACACATAGATAATCATCAGTCAAAGAAGTGTGTTATTAATGATGCATACATTTGTATAACTGTATAAATGTGTGTGAGAGAATATTACCTGGGCAAGGGATGTTTACGTCAACAAATTGTGGAAAGTCCTCGCTTTTTATTATAGTGCCTGTAATCCATTGCTGAAAACTTGAGACGCGGGTGTAAACGCCGAGTGTTTTGCCTAAAAAAGGAGAATTATGGTGCGTTCACGTGCTATGGAAAATATAAATGTTCCACTTGTGAACTGGTATTTACCATTGTGTTGTGTTCAAGTGCTTTTGTTGTCATAATGTGGTAAAAAGATGGAGATCCAGACCTGTTATTTAGCTAAAACTATTTAATGTTGCTTAAACGGAGTTGTTCAATTTTGAAAAAAACTTTTGCTGATAATTTACTCACCCCCATGTCATCCAAGATGTCCATGTCTTTCTTTCTTCAGTCGAAAAGAAATTAAGGTTTTTGATGAAAACATTCCAGGAATTTCTCCATATAATGGACTTCAATGGGAACCAACCGGTTCAAGGTCCAAAAGACAGTTTCAGTGCAAACTGTTCAAAGGGCTTTAAACGATTCCAGACGATGAATAAGGGTCTTATCAAGTGAAACGATCACTCATTTAATAAAAAATTTCGACGGAAGAAAGAAAGACATGGACATCTTGGATGACATGGGGGTGAGTAAATTATCAGCAAACGTTTTTTCAAAAGGGAACTACTCCTTTAAGTCATCTGCTACAGCAAGAAGATGATTTATCGAAACTCAAACTGTAAATAATAAGCTGTATATTTTGTAGATCATGAATAGTATATATTTTTAGCATTCACGACTCTCGCGTTGCTCTCTGCCATTTTGAAAAGGTCAAAGGTTATCTCATCTCGGCAACTCGTGCATCAAAATATTCTACGAGTTTCCCAGTGGAAATGCCACATGAGGGGTGTTCACTATGCATTTTCCACATCGGCTTTTGGCATTTACCATAAATACCATAAGATGTGAACGCACCATTAGTAGATGGAAATCCCCAGCTGGTGATGCCAAACTGAACCCACTTTGAACAGTGTTCTTTACTCATAATTGGACCTCCAGAATCCCCCTGCAGACGAGAAGAGGTTGTGTTTTCAGTCTCCTGTTTTACTTTTTCATGATATCAAACAGAAATACAAACTGTATGGGGAAAAATCAAGTATTAAATGTTTAAAGGTACAGTAAGTCTTGACAGATATTCAGGTAGACATTGTCTGTATGCAGTAATGAGTAATAATCATCTTGTTGTTGTACATGCTGTGTGTCTTTTCCCGTAGGATCGCCAGCACATATCTTATCGTTGGTGATTTGATGTTGATTATTCCATTGTGTAAGCTCGGCCTGGCAAAGAGTACTATCCATCACAAAAACTTCAGCCTCCTGCAGAGTCCCAGGATAAGGTAGATTCACTGGACACACACACACACACACACACACACCATTATGATGTCTTTATCTGAATAAATTAGTCAGATCTAGTTGCTTGTACCTTGATGTACCTTGATGTCCAATTTGTCCCCAGCCTATGATCCCACTCCTAGTGTTAACGGGGAAATCACTGCCACTCTGCACCAGAGACACTGAACTGATATACTTATTAAACTTGACTGGATCAGACAAGTGCAGCAGAGCGATATCATTGATGAGAGTTCCTTTATTATACGATCCGTGAGTGTAGACTTGTTGTACTTTTAGCATCTTTTGTTTCCAATTTTTTTTACGCTGTGTCATCTTTCCCAAGTACACAAGTATGCTGTCCTTATCCATAGGTGTGCCATCATCCCTATAAAACAAAAATAGTGCAAGAGCAATCACAAAAGACAGTTTTGTAAAGTCTGTATATACTGAATGTGTTGATATGGGTCTGACCAAAAGAAACAGTGAGCGGCCGACAGCACCCATTGACGGCTGATGAGGGAACCTCCACAAATATGGCAGGTGGGGTCGTGCAAACTAACCATCCACGGCCATGCCTTCTTCGGGGCCTTATCACCATCCTTAACACGAGGGTACAAAGGGTCATGGGCACACACTGTGAGAAAGAGAGACAAATATCAAACAGGCTCCAGATGACAGAAACTTTTAGAAAACCATGTCCGTTAGATGTTGTGAACTTCTGTTAGATTGAACCTTCCTCTCCCTCCAAAAATACACCCTCCAAAGACATGACAATCATGTGAAACAAGTGTGATATTTCAGGACACCATCAGTGATTTGTCGAAAAGTAAGGACATTTTTGAATGTTATTTCATTAAAGGATTAGTTCACTTTTGAAAAAACTTTTGCTGATAATATACTCACCCCCATGTCATCCAAGATGTCCATGTCTTTCTTTCCTCAGTCGAAAAGAAATTAAGGTTTTTGATGAAAACATTCCAGGATTTTTCTCCATATAATGGACTTACATGGGAACCAGACGGTCCAAGGTCGAAAAGACAGTTAATAACAGTTTCAGATGCAGCTTCAAATGTCTTTAAACGACACCAGACGATGAATAAGGGTCTTATCATGCGAAACAAATGACAAATGCTAGCCTTGCTATATTCTGTGAGGCGCGTTTGTAACGTCACGTAATACGTAATTACGTTCAAAAGGTCACGGGCGACGTAGCCGGAAGTACAGAGTCAGAGTGTTTACAAGTTGAACGCATAGGTTGAACGTGCAAACTAACTCAAACGCCGTTTACAAAAAAGGAATTAAAAGGTAAAACAACGATGTCGGACGATTTTGATTCTGTACTTCCGGCTACGTCGCCCGTGACCTTTTGAACGTAATTACGTATTACGTGACGTTACAAACGCGCCTCACAGAATAGAGCAAGGCTAGCATTTGTCCTTAGAAAAGTTACATTTTTGGAATAAGCTTTGAAATAACCGATCGTTTCGCATGATAAGACCCTTATTCATCGTCTGGTGTCGTTTAAAGACATTTGAAGCTGCATCTGAAACTGTTATTAACTCTCTTTTGGACCTTGAACCATCCGGTTCCCATTGAAGTCCATTATATGGAGAAAATCCTGGAATGTTTTCATCAAATCCTTAATTTCTTTTCGACTGAAGAAAGAAAGACATGGACATCTTGGATGACATGGGGGTGAGTAAATTATCTGCAAAAGTTTTTTCAAAAGTGAACTAATCCTTTAATTAAATCTTCAGAACCTGCCATCGAAGTGACAGAGCGGTAGAGAAATAATATTTGCGGGTGTCTTTGAGATTAAGGTCTTACCCTGGACACATATGAGCAGTGTCAACAAAGTCACACACGTCTTCCTCATCTTCACGCAGACTCTCTCTTTACTGGTAGGATGATGTCGAGGGCAGTTTGCTCTTCAGTGCCTTTCACAATGTCTTTAATACTGTCTCATATCTCTAGTATCGCTTATCTCTCTTCTGCCCAGTCGTTCGTCACGCCCCATTTACATTTTCAACAATCTTCTTTTTATTCCTTGTATTCTTTCTACTGTTAAGTAAAAAGCGTACTAAAAAAGGTTCTTTTCTGTTCTGTTTTCTATGAACACCTGATCATCATGATCCTGCATGGCCAAGCACTTCTGTACACTTTTGTTTTTAGGGTAACACTTTATAATAATGGTCCGACATTAATAAGTAACTATGCAGGACTAATAAGTAGTACAATAACTCTTCAGCTACGAATATAAACTAATGTTGAAACAAGCTTAACTAATCAGTTAGTAATACTGAATCTAAGAGATATTTCCTCATTAGTTAATCAATAATTACTTGATGAGATTAGCCTCATTAATAACTATTAACTAACTGAAAAAAATTCCAAAACATTATCGTGTCTGAGACTTTATCAGTCATCAATTTTAGTCTGAATATAAAAAAAAAATAATAATAATTTAGAAAAAGCTCCTTAAGTGTTACCTAATCACAATGCAGGAACTACTAGAAAACGTGACTCTACATTAATCCGTATACATTTGAAAACGGGGTTTTCGTTTAAAAACGCTCTCCGTCCACACTAGTGTTTTCAGGCGTTTTCTGACGTTTCAGTGTGGAAAAGAAACTTCTAAATTCACTTTACTGCGCATGCGTGAAACTTCACAAAAGCTCACTGAGATGATACAGATGGGAAAATAAATAATAATGTTATCACACAATAACGGGATAATTTTATTTAGCAAAATATCTCACCATCACTGATGCGTCCAGGTCGCTTTCAGTCACCATATGTTTGGTCTAAAACGCAACTACTCACCTGTTTTGCCGCAGGACAGCAAATGTAAGTACATTATCTGTCATCTTTGCAGTGCTGTGCTATGAAGAATAGCACATATTAAGTAACATAGAAAGCAACATATTTTAGCAACAGTGTAAAAATGAATAACGCATAAAAGGCACAATACTGATAAACATGAATATCTATTGGTACTACATGGATCACATGACTAAATTTACGTCATCGTTTTGAAATACCTCCGGTTTCACTGTCCACACTTCAACGCGAAAACGGCGTTTTCAAATTTATCCACTTTGGAGAGCGTTTTTCAAAAGATATGTTTTCGTTGACTTAAAACCGCGTCTCAGTGTGGACGGAAGGCCAAAACGGAGAGAAAAATATACGTTTTCAAACGAAAACGTATTAGTGTGGACATGGCCTAAAAGTGAAAAAACATCTTTTCCTCTTTGAAAAAATGGTCCAGGTACTTGAGTTGTTAGTCATGCATTTTATGTCCATGTTCTGAGTAACTAAATAAAAAAGCCATATTCAAGAACTGCTTTTGATCTGGACCAATATTTTATAGAGGAAAAAATGTTTTTCACTTTAACATAATAATGGTTCAGATCACTAGTAGTTCCTGCATAGTGACTTTTATGACCATGTTGAGAGGGGGTGGGGGTTGGGGGTTGTATTGTATTATTAGAAAATTGGTAATAGGTAAAGAATTGTATTATTATTACAGTTTTTATGTATTTTAGATGTTTTTTCGTTGTTGTTTTATAGGTAAATGTTCTATGACAATTGTTAAAAAATGTTCAATCAAAACATCCTGTCTTTTTTTTTTTTGGTCGACTATCGTTGCGCAGGACAAGACTTTGGTCGACCAAGGATTGATTGACTACAGCCCTATTTGTATTATGGAGAGACCTCCGCTATTTTTATTGTGATAAATTACAAGTTTTCAGATATGCAGAAATAATGGTAAACTGTAATGAAACAGCATACATGAGACATGAAATGAACACAAAAGACTGTTCCAGGATAACAAAAAGTCGGTACTTTAGGATGTAACTTTTATTTTATGAACTAGATCTACTGTCTAACGCCACTCATCCCACTACTGTCATATTGTTTATAATACACATTTCCAGACACGTTCAGTACAGTAATGTTACTACCTACGATCTTACTGTTACACTGAAATTGTTCAGTCTAACCGTTTTCATGATCATATAATAGATTCACCTATGTTGACATTGCTGATTGTGAAAGATACTCGAATAGTTAGTGAAACTCCTTATGCTAGATAACACCACAAATGTAACGTCATCATGGTCCGATCATGGAGCATTAGTTCAGTCAAGCTGATAAAGGTAGCCTATTATTGTAACGCTGCAGTGGGAGTTTACGTGAGTTTACAGCATGTTGTGTGATGCTTTCTCCGGTGTGTGTAAAGTCTGAGTGTGGCTGTGTACCTTGAGTGTTCGCTCTTGTGTTCTTGTGTAAATCTGAAACATCACGATAGATGCCACAAAAAATGCATAGAGCACCTTTAAGTAAACAACTGGTGACTGAAAGATCACATCAGAGTGCTTTACCTACCAGTATGGCAAACAGAGATATCGAAACTTTATTGTTCAAGAATATTACTATAGTTTGCATGCCAGTTGAGATAGAAACAGAATTGTGTGTGTAAGTACATGCAGTTTAACCGCTTCTCAAGCTAGACTCAGACTTATTCAGACTGTTAATATTATGGAGATATATAAGCTCAAACATGAAAATAAAAAAATTTTAAGAATATATTTATTTAAATGTATAAAACATTATGTGGATGTGGGGTAGAAACACAATGAAGGGGAAGCCACAAGCCCATGCTTCTTGTTTTCTGAAGAAATACAAAAAAAAAAAAAGTAAATTAAGTGAGTTTTTGCTTAGACCCAAAATAATGATCTGCCAATGGGCAAAGAAATATAATGGGTGACAGCTTAGTTTAGGATCCAATTCTCACTACTAACTAGTTGCTTATTAGCATGCATATTACTAGGATATTTGATGTTAAAAAGCACAATTATAGGGGTAGTTCACTTTGAGATTAATTTTTGATATGTTTTAGCTTACCTCAAGGGCATCCAAGATGTAGGTGTCTTTGTTTCCACAGCATTTTCAATTTTGACATTTTTCAGTCAAACCGTTGTTGTCTGTCAGTCATATAATAGAGGTTTAGGGGGTCCACGTCAAAGAGCAGCACAGAGAAGTCCAAATTAAACATGATTTAATGACTCATAAATATAAGTACACATTGATGGCCTAAGACACGAAACGAGCGGTTTGTGTGAGAAAACCAACAGTATTTATATTGTTTTTACCTCGTGTAACCACAGCCACGTCCAACTGATCTAACGGCACGGGCGCTTCGGTCTGTGCATGCGCAGGAAGTGATCGCTTGCGCGTGTACGTCACTCATTATTTACATGGAGATTTCGGTAAATTTACCTTTCACTAAACATATTTATATATACCGAAATCGTCTTCCATTGCGATTTCCTGTATATCTAAATATGTTTAGATCTTCACAGTGAAAAAGGTAAAAATTCCGAAATCTCTGTGTAAACAATGAGTGACGTACACATCCAAGCGATCACTTCCGGCGCATTTGCCGACGGAAGCGCCCGTGCCATCAGATCAGTTGGAAATGACTGTGATTACACAAGGTAAAAACGATATAAATACTGTACGTTTTCTCACACAAACCGCTCATTTCATAACAACTACCTTACTAACTATTAATAAGCAGCAACTAGGAGTTCATAGTTAATAGTGAGAATTGGACCCATGGCTAAAGTGTGACCAAATAATCGTATTCAGATTCTTTCAAAAACACGATATAATATCAAATGTCATTTTACTAATCTAATAAATGCTTCTTGTTTTAGGATTGTTTAGGTATTTGGACTGGAAACAAGAAAAGTACAAAGTAAGAAAGGCTTTTTTTTGCAGTTTGCACACAAAGTGTGTTTCATGAGCACATGCTCTATAGTTATTCACAAACTCAAGATCAGAGCCTGAGTTGACAGAAAGTTCATGATCAATGTCATCATGGAGACAACTTTTCTGTTTGGACTGGTTTGATTTTGTCAACTTGAAACTACCCCTGATCCCCTGAGTTTGTTCAACTTCCATGTAATGTGTTGAGGCTCCAGTGGATCGAAGTTTTAATGGTGAGCGAGATGGGCATGAATGACACAATGAGGAATTGTACTTTCTTAGGAAACGTTTACGATCCTTAATCTTCTAGCGAGGTCATTTGCATGTAAAATTTGAGTGGGTGATACAGGAACAACTTTCAAGATTGTAATAACAGTAAAATGCATCGAAGTGTCACATGTCATGTTGACGGGGTTCAAGGTAGTTTGTGAACTCAGAAACACCAGCGATTTCAAACTGTGTTTTTGAGAATGTCTTTGGTTCACTGCAGTTATTGTCCCATTACTGTTTATCTAAAAAGGGAAAATTCAGCATTTAAAGCCATAAGGTAGGTTTGGGCAACAGCCAATGGACAAAATAATCAGTATTTTGGGCCTACATGGTGATCTATGGTATAATTTCAGAATTTACTTTTTTTTTTCTATTTGAATTTAGAAAAGATCTTTATTTAATTTTTTTTTATATCCTGATCAATATTGTCCTATTACAATTTTTATATTGAAGTGAACATGAATGTAACCTTGCATTGCAAAAAGGGGTCAAATCACATTACATTCTAACATTCAAAAAATGCTTTTTAAAGAAGATGCTAAATTCACTAAACTAAAAATTAAAATAAATAAATACAAAACTGCTATCATAAAAATACACTTGTAGGTTTGAAAATCAACCTTTTTACCTATTTACTACAAAATTCCTCAACTACACCATTAGGATACATATGAAATATTATTAATAATAATGATAACCTTTAATTTCTATAGCACCTTTAAATGTACATCTCAAAGCGCTGTACAAAAAACACATTTAAAATTGCAAAGATTCAACACACAAAGAGACAATACACAGTAAGATAATAATAATCAAAAAAAGACAATAAATCAATTAAAAGCTAACCTAAAAAAATGAGTTTTAAGTTGAGATTTATAGATTCCAAAAGATTTGGCTTGCCTGATCTCAGTCGGTAGAGAGTTCCAAAGTTTTGGAGCTAATGAAGAAAAAGCCCTCTCATTAATCTCAAACGGGTTGAGGGAACAGTTAAAAGACCAGTA